ATATTCCTTTAATTTCTTAAATGATACGCCTAACATTTTCTCTCCTCGCGTATATAAAATTACGACCACCACTATATTTGCATAGTTATCTCAAAGTTTAAGCAAATTAATTGGTTCTATGATTCTCAACTTTGTTCATTTGGATTAATTATAGGCCAAAACCATTTCCACTGGAAATTCTCATTAATGTTAATGGTTTGAGTGGATTAAAGAGATTAGTCTTTTGTTAAAATTAGTGCATCAGTATCAGTATCACAATATGTTAAATATTATATCTCAATTTAGATAAAAAGAATTTATAATTAATATATAAATAAATATAAATCTTATTTTATATAAGTGAAATTTTATAGGATTAAGTTAAATTTAAAATTTATCTATTCTTAATATGTTGACTTATAAAAATGTTTTTTATTTTATATATTTAAAAACATTATTTAACATTAAAAATCAGTTAATTTTTTGGTTTATTTTTCAAAGAATAAAAGATGTAATATAATATATAAATAACAACCATGTAATATTTTTGAAATAGTAGTTGTGGAAGTTAATTAGCGATAAAAAAAAAAGTAGCAAAATTTGTGTGATTTAATCCTTGAAATGGGTAGTATAATTTACTCAATATTTTAAATGACTCTCACCAAAAGTGTATTTGATCTAAACAAATTAGGAATCCTTTGTTGGTCCTCTTTTTTAAATTATTCTCTAAGTAGACTTCTTTGTATTAATTTCCTGAATGTTGGAGTAACCAATTACGAAATTAATTTTCAACAAAGTGATAGTTATAGACACTTTTATTATTAAAAAAATTAATTAGTAGTAACGTCTAATATTAGACTTAATTAATTTATATCTAATGTAAAAATTAAATAGAAGTACTTTAACTCAATTTTAAATTTAAAATCAATTCATAAAATTAAACATATAAATAGTTATATAAGATTATAATATATCCCGGACCAAGATAATCAATAATGTGTGACTGTTTTAGTTATTAATTTTAGAGTTTAGAGTCGTGATGTAATGTGTATATAAAGAAACAATGGAGCACATAAAACGTAATGTACTCGAACTCTATTATACATCAGTTCAATAAAGGAATGATATTGTTGACCTTAGGTGATTCTAAGCGGTCATATTATATAGTTTTATTTAATTTATGTGTATCCCATTGTACTACATTTTTTTTAAAATATTTTTTCAATTTTCATTCTAAAATGTAATTGTACAAGACTCAAACTTTAATAGTTTTTATTGACACTTCAATTTTTAATACTTAAAATTAATTCAATTATTATATTTACATATTATTTGAATACCTCTGTACTAAAATGAAAAATAATGTTATAATTAAACCAAGAGGTTAATAAATTGAACAAAATCTATTAAATTTGAAAATTAAATTTTTATTTCCATGACACATAATTGTTTTAAATTTATAAACTTCTTATAACAAGTTTCAATGAAAGTGTTTTAAAATACAAATTTATGACTCTCAATCTAATTTCTATTTTGAAAAATGTCATTAGGTGGAATTATTCCAAATGTGGAGTTTTCAATTTATTATTAGTAAGTGCATATACACAAGAGGCCACACACCCATGCACTAAGAAAGAAGATTGAACTATTATTAGATGATAGTTTTCAAAACTGTTATATATTTATGGATGAGTATATCACTAAATTAGATAGAATACAGAACTAAAGGAAATATTATAATTTTAATTACATAACAACATTAAATGCGTGTTGAGGAATTTGTAGATTATTTTAATAGATATAATTGGTTGTTGTAATTGATTCTATGAAATACATTTTTATATATAAATATGTTAGGCGAAAAATATTATATAATTAATTTAGTATGGGATAAGGGTTAAATACTTGCAAGGTAATATTATCAGGATTTTGAGCATGAATTTGTGAATAGGTGATAAGATTTTAGCGGTGGTTGAAGGAGCGAAAATTGAATTCCTTGGTATTCAGAGGGAGAAGATCTACTTGTAAAAGATTTTTTGATGTTAAGTTAGTAAGAAAGTTGATGATTTATGAATATGAGTATAAGATATTGAATGAGTATTAAGTGAATATTTCTTCAGGAATATTAGTTGTATTTATAGGATCAATACTGGCCATGAATCTATGTTATTGAAATAATACTTGCTTCAAGTACATAATAACAGAGTAATTAATAATAACATAATGATACCTCATTATAAATAATAATCATAATATCAAACTAACGAGATTAGTTATGGCATGTGAATATTGCCTTAATAGACGTAGGTTTGGGTTGCAACAAAATGAAGAGGCTTAATAAGTCTTGTTGATTCGTGCTCTTTATTATGTTGATTGGGTCGAATAGGAACATAAGCCCCTCAGTCTCAAGCGTTTGATTTGGCATATGTGATCGTGCCTAATCTCTTGGTCTGTATAGTTTGCAAGTGGATAGATCATTCAACCAAACTTGTATATAGATTGGCCAATCAATCGTGTTTGCAGGTAGATTGATCATTTGGCTAAGCTCATATGTAAATGGATCATTCAGCCGAGTTTTTAGGCAAATTGGTCATTCGATCAAGCTCGCATATAAATTGGTTATTCAATCGAGCTCTTAGGTATTGGCCATTTGACTGAGTTCGAATATAGATTGACCATTCGATCAAGCTCTTGGGTAAATTAGCCATTTGATCAAGCTTTTAGGTAGATTGACTGTTTGGTCGAGCTCTTAAATAGATTGGTCATTCAATCGAGCTCTTAGATAAATTAGTCATTCGACCAAGCTTGTAAATAGATTAGCCATTCAACCGAGCTCGTAAATGAGTTGGTAATTCAACCAAGCTCTTTGGCAAATTATCCATTTGATCGAGCTCCCATATGGAATAACCATTCAGCCAAACTCTTAGATATATTGATCATTTAATCAAGCTCTTAGATAGATTGACCACTCAGTTGAACTCTAAGATAAATTGGTCATTCAACCAAATTATTAGATAGATTGGCCATTCGGCCAAACTATTAGATAGATTGGTCATTCGACCGAACTCTAAGGTAGAATGGCCATTCGGTCGAGCTCAAAGATAGATTGACCATTCGGCCGAGCTCTTATGTAGATTGGCCATCCGACCGAGCTCGAAGATAGACTGACTATTTGGTTGAGTTCGCATGTAGATTGACCGTTTGATCGAGTTGTCCAAACGCCAATATGTAAGAACAGTCCTTCCAACTTGTGTTGTTAACTTTAGGCAGGCTTTATACTAGGTTACTAGCTTGGGCATGCTCTATTACGTGCGGTTGAATTTAGGCAGACTTTGTTTTGATGCTAACACCCCGAAAGTTTTTTTTTTCAAAATGTCACGGGTTTACAAAACTTTTAAAACTTAACTCTGATACCATTGCAAGATACAATTTAAATAAAATCTTCATAAACCAAATGTAGTTATAAAGCGTTTACAAAATTCCATTACAAAACTATTAACATTGAAATTAAAATCCCATAGTTCTCCCATGTATCTCGTTACTCAACTCTGCTTTAGCTACAACTGTAATAATATCTACTCCCGCCCACAAGTACGATCATCACAAGTGGAAACCACAACCACAACAAGGGTGAGCTAACAGAAATAGGTCATGTAAACATACATAACATCATTCTCTTACACACATCTTCACATGACAGCACATCAAATCATTAACACTTGCACTATCAGAATTCTAAGTCACCAGCATATAAGCACACAGTTTTTCGTCAAATTAAATTCACACTCAGACTCACTCGGTCATTCACCAACTCATACCCCAATTTGTTTGAAACCATTCACTTTATATTGAATCACCATCGGGTTACTCATATACAACATAAAGTTGAGTGTCACCTCCCACCACTCTCTTAAAGAGCTTCACCGACAAGTACACCACTTCCCACCACTCTCTTGGAGCTTCACCGGACAAGTATATCACTTTCTACCACTCTCTTAGAGCTTCATCGGGCAAGTATTCACTCCCCCGTCACTCTATTATGAAGGTATACCATTAGAACTACTGATTAATAGAGAACTTAAGGGAAAACTCAAACCATACATGCCATAAAGAAAAACCTTACATGCATTGAAGAATATTAAACTAAAGAAAAAGATAAAAGAATTTGACAGACAAACTTGAAGATATTACCGCAAGATCACACAAGGAGACTCTAATCCCCAAAGAGATAAATTGGATGCAAACACTCTTAAAGAGAAAACAAATGACTCTAGAAAAGTAATCGTATAAAGATTACGTGTTTTAAAATAATAAAAGTCTTTTAATATTAAAATATTTTAATATTAAAATAATAAAATCTCATTATTTTTAAGTGAGTTTTTGAAATAATACTTTTTAATCTTCACATCATATAATGTTTTAGTTTAAAATATATAATATACCGTTTTCTTTAATTTTAAAGTTGTAATTCTAAGTATAAGTGGTATTAAAAATGTATTTGAAATTCCTTCCTAAATATATATATATATATATATATATATATATATATATTTCACTCCCCTTCGAATTAAATTTACTATATCAAATGTATTTTATATTCTAAAACGTAAGTCTCCTTTTTCTATATCGTGTTCATCTCCTTTATTTATTTATCGTAAAATTTTCAAATGAAATAACTAAAATAAATTACACAATTACAATTTTCTTAAAATTTTAATATTTTCATATATTCTTCCAAGTTAGGGAACACGATTTTCTTAATTTAGACGCATTGACTTAGTTTTATATATATTTTTCTCTATTTCATTTCAATAAAATAAAACTATGGTAAATTATAACTTCAAAAACTTAAAAGATTTATTCAAAATTAAATTAAATTCAACTAAATTTAGATCACTGGCAATCTTTCCGCAAAAGTATGAACAGAACTAATGGATACGCAGTTATTGACCATAATAACCCTTTCCAATAAAGACACGTGGGGCCCACTTTGCCGTCACTATTTATTTATTCCAATCGACCCAGCCTTTCCTTCTATTCCCTAATTTCCGACTTCTCTGAGTTTCTCAGAGTCTCACCCGCATACACACAACGTTCAGTTTCCAAACACAATCGACTTTAAATTTGAATTTGAATTTGGATTTGGATTTGGATTTGGATTCACTGTGATGCCTTACACGGTACGAGAGAACCTCTCGATCGGTAACATCGGCGACGCGGCCGGGATTCTTCAAAACGACACCGTTCACAGTGTCACGCACATTCTCTCCGTCCTCAGCTCTGCCTCCATCTCCTTCTTCACTGAATGGCGTCCCAGTCTCTCCATCCCTGCCAAGGAAATCACCAAAGTCCATGTGGCGGACGCCGGTGCTAGTGCCGCCAAATCGGCGCTCGCGCCGGATAAGCTTCTTTACTCGCTCGAGTACGCCGGTCGTGACTTGAAGCTCGTGAGGATGGCCGTGCCTCTCCGAGACACCGAGAACGAGAACTTGTTGGATTACCTGGAAGTTTGCATCGATTTCATTGATCGCGGTCGGAAGGAAGGTTCCGTTCTCGTCCACTGTTTCGCCGGAGTTTCCAGAAGGTGCTGATTGATTTTAATTTTGTCGATTTTTTTATTACTATTATCATTTTTCTGAGTTTGATGGTTTTTGCGGTGGTTCTTGTAGTGCGGCGGTTATTACGGCTTATTTGATGAGAACCGAACGTCTATCTGTAGAAGGTGTGAAACTGAAACCAATACTTATAAAGTTATGATACCGTGTATTTGACGCGTGATTCAATAAACACTAATAATTCAATACAAAGTTTGTTTGTTTATAAGCTTTACCTTGAAGCTGAATGAAATAAGCTTGAAAATAACTTTATTCTGCCAACTTTATTAAACTAAGTTGAAAATTTTTTGTTGAAGAAATTATGTATAGCTATTTGTAAATAACAGATTTAATTATTAATTTGATGATTTACCCTCACAATTTGATGGTTTAGTCTCTACACCTAAACACTTGTCGTATTAGTCGCTACACAAATGATATTTAATCCGTTTTTAGTCTGTCATCCAAAATTGTTAGGACTAAACCGAGTTACAAGTGTATTACTAAAATAAGTAGTTTCTAGACATAGAGATGAAGGCATGAAGATTTATGTAGGTATTAGATCAAATACATAATTAAACCTAAATATTATTGTTAGTTTCTATAGTGCATAGTGCATTAACATCATTATAATCAGTTCAGTATTGTTGTTAAAAGTTTATATAAGTATTTATTTTGAAAATGGACTGAGTAGGTATTGTTTATTTTTAGAAGTTGAATGGTCTGTGTCTTGGAGTTATATGTGCTTCTGTTTTTTAATGTATTTTTGTGTACTGCAGATGCCCTTGAATCGTTGAGGCAGAGCTGTGAAAATGTTTGTCCCAACGATGGTTTTCTAGAGCAGGTGTGTGCTGTTAAAGGTCTCTTTGTATGGTCGTGAAGATATTATTTTTTTAACGAAACACCAATCAGAATTATGACGTTTTTTCCTCTCTCTCAAATCTTAGTTGAAACTGTTTGAGGGGATGGGTTTCAAGGTTGATCACTCCAGCCCTATATACAAGCGCTTTCGTCTAAAAGTACTAGGTATGACTTCGTCTCCCCCGACTTATTTTGGTACTTATTATTGTTCATACATGTGTCATGGCGGTATTGAAGAGAATGGAGATATTTGTTATGACCCTACTTATGTAAAAGAATATAGTGGGTGGGTCTAAGCTACACCATGCATCATTTTGGTGTGTATGATACCCTCTTGTTTGTCACATGTCATTGCTGGAATGATTCAATTTGCATTGTTTACTTTATTTTCACATGTCACCATACCCAGTACATTTTTAGGAAGTAGGAAAATCATGGGCTAGATTTTGCAGTTCCTTCATCTCCCAAATTCTGTACAGAAACACTTTTGACGAAGAAAGTTAAGTGTTTATTCTCATTATTTCTTCATCCTTATGTGTCATCATTCCTCTAGTTGTATTAATTTTCAAGTTGACTTATTCCTTGTAGCTTCTGTTTTAGTATTTTGATTACGCTTATTTTGTGCTCATATTATTCCTTTTTACTTGTTTTAGCTTGAATATGGAAAAATTTATGTAATCTGAGGAAAGAAATATCTCTTTTTTCAGGTGAAAATCATTTATCAGGGTTGAGGATAGACAGTTCTAAATTTGGTGCAGATCCTGGCATGCCTGTCGAAATTTCTTCAGGGACAGAAGAAACCACTAAAGTAGAAAATAACCGGAGACCTACATATCGCTGTAGGAAATGCCGACGACTTGTTGCATTGCACGAACATGTCATAGATCATGTTCCTGGTGAGGGTGAGACAGCCTTTGGGTGGAACAAACGAAGAGGTGGTAACCCTTTCAACAAATCTAAAGAATCTGACTGTTCATCCATATTTATTGAGCCTCTACGGTGGATGAAAGCTGGTAAGAAAACATTCAACTACAATACTACAATGTCTATTTTTCCAATGAGATGTGAATCTATGCCGCACTTTTTGTGAAGAACGTTCCCATTCTTTTGAATAAGGGATGAAGAATGGTCTTTGATATTTTGAAGTGTGTTACCACTTTTTTCTTGCGCCTGTTGGACACTTTACTGAATTTGTTTTACTTGACTACTCCTTACATCACGTGATGTGCTGTGTGTTATACTTATACGGTTATATACATAAATATGCATAAAATTGACAACTTTTTACTGATATTTCTTGTTACTTAGTTGAGGAAGGTGCATTGGAGGGAAAGCTGTCATGTGCTCATTGTGACGCTCGTTTGGGATACTTCACTTGGGCAGGCATACAATGCAGCTGCGGAAGCTGGATAACCCCAGCATTTCAACTCCACAAAAGCCGGATAGACATAAGCCCCATGTAACCCTTCTTTCTCCACTTTATGCATATCCTCATTCCTCAGTAAGGGATGCACCCTATATTTTTGTCGTTGTTCTTGGACTTGTGCTCTGCCTCAAGCTTTCGAAGTTGGTCCACTGCCAATGAAGTAATGGAAAGAAGGATTGAAGTCTTGTTCAAGTATTCCAGGTAAAACCAATGCTGTTATGAAAGGGAGGATTATAGTGTTACACTCTTGTGCTTCTTCCAGAATGGCGTTTGGAGCTACGATTAGAGATTAAAAAATTAGGGGTTTTAGAAAATGGAGAGGCATGATTTGGGTTTTCAAATATTGGGATTTGTTCCTTCAATGATTTTACCATAAGCAAACATGTTTTTCTGCGAACGATTTTACCATTGTACTTTTCTTCTCTTATGCAAATTTTTTTCTTGAGGTGTGAAGAAACTGGCTACAAGTTGAAATACATACGCAAAAACCCCAATGCTGATATATTATTTCTAGTCTATCATTTCCAGGCCCCTTCTCTTTTGATCATTATCCACCAGGCAATTGGATAAGAACTCGATTGTTCCTTAGATCACAATTAATTGTTAAACGTGTCATCGGATCTTATCAGGTCCCATGTACATAGATATCTTGTCAAATTTTGATTTAGGATACGGTTAAAAAAAAAAAAAAGAGTAGGATTTCCCTAGGCTTAACGTTGTTTATAGCTAGTTCTTGGGGTGCTTGAATTTTCGTGGCATCACTTAACATGATACTAAAACACTAGTTAATATTATTGCAAGTAAATTATTCGTACGCTTGATTTTATATTTTAAGAACTGATTATGATTTAAAACTGATTGAAGTAGCTTTAAGTGGTTTTATGCCTAGTCTTGCTATAAAATAAAAAAATACTACAGGATGATGAACAATGTTGGTTGTCCACGTATATAAAAAAATGTGTTGTTACAATTTCTGTATCAATAGAATTTGAATATAGCATGCGTTAAATATGTTTTTATTTGTAAATTTAAATGTAGAATTATAATTTATTTTTGAAAATTTGGATATATTTTAGTTTTTAAATTTTAAAAATAAATTGATATAGTATTTTTAATTTAATAGAGTTAACTTTTTTATCAGTTAAATGTTCGTTAATTTTTTTTATTTGTTAAATGTTTGTTAACTTTTTTATTTGTTAAATGTTTATATCATTTTACATGTTTTAGTTCAAATATCAAATAATCCGATATATTATTTAGCACAAAAAGATTAATATTATAGAGTTAAAAATATTATATCCATTTTTTTAAAATTTGAGAATTAAAATGTAACAAAATTTGAGATATATACAAATTTTAATTTTATGTAAAGTTTAAGAATTAAAAATATATTAAGCTTTTTATATTGAATAGTCTAAAATAACTAATGCACCATCTTCAATAATTTTAAGAAGAGTAATGTTTAAGGATGATAAGTAAACTCGTCTTAGTGGATATTAACTAAACTTATTCTCATTTTAAAAGAAAATTTTGCATTAACTAGATACGATATTTTATTATTTAATTTTTTCAAATTGGATATGAGAATATATATATATATATATATAAAATATGTTTTGTCTCTATCTCATACCCATCCTAATGCACACAACTATATTTTCTATCTAAATATTTGATATTGATGAAACAAAAATATGTTATTTTGATATTAAATATTTAATAATATTATATTTTATTTTATGAGATTTTTTTAACTTTTTTATAAAAATTAATTAATTGATATTAAAATAGTAAGAGAGTGAATACAAACAAAAGTATAGGTATATCTCTTATTGTGTGAAGATCAGGATGAGATAAAAATTCTATACACGTTGAACGTTTATATGAAATGTGGTAAAAACAAATTTCAAAATTGAAATATGATAATGAAACTCATCTAGTCTAGTTGTGTATATATATATGCCAGCATTGTAATCTCTAGTTATATTTTCATTATGTTATTAATCAAATATCAAGAAAGAATGTGAAAATTTAAAATGGAAATAAATAATTATTATTTTATGATGAATCAATTCATATAATCTATCAACCATTTTAATACCCATAATCATCGTCGAGTTTTATCAATTGTAAATAATCTACATTGACAATTTTATTTTTACATACATGTTAGATAAATTATATATTAGTTTATTAATTTTATATTTAAATAAAAAATACACAAATGACAATAAAATAGATAAATATTAAAAACAATATTATATCTTTTGTAAAAGTTATAGTTTTAAGTTTTTAATTAATTATTTTATAATATAAATTATTTAAGTGTTAGTTAACCTAAATTTTTAAAAGTTATAAAAAGTGTAACATCCCATTTTTAACATTTTATAATTGATAAAATCAGATATTATAAGATTGATAAAATCAGATATTATAAGATTGATAAAATAAAACATATTGTTAGTGTTGATGCATCTTTAGTAGAAGATGTTGATGTAATAGAATAGTCTTCTTTAGTGTTTAATAGTTATCCAATATAGGAGTTTTTAAAAGCTTTAAGTTATTCTTAGTTATTTTATCTATATTTATTATTATAATTATTTTTTTAATAATTACATTAATATTATATACATTAACACAAACAATTGACACTAAATTTAATTATTTAGATATATGTCTTTAGCATTGAGCTTCATTCTAGGCGTGCACTTGTACTAATATTTATACTTTATAGAGTCATAAGCAAAAGTGTTATCACCATACTACTTATAAGGTTAGTCCTTTTCACACCTATGATCAAATTGTCCAGTGGCTAGGACCTTCTACCATTCTCTCCCTTCGACTATTATTTTCTATGAGTTGAATGGTTGATAGAATATCAAGATACCTTTTTACTAACTTCTCATATGTCAATGCATACACTCAAATCATTACTACAAAGAATTTTTCCTTGAAATTATTTCAACACCGTCATAATACATGTCCACAACCATATATATCATCATTTTAATCAAACATAATAATAATCATAAACATACATAAAGTCCATTATAAATCTATTCTAAACCACCAAAGAAGAAAATATATCCAACATACAATTTGGCACTTAGAGGTGACATTCAACACCAAACCTTTTTCAAAAAGTGGCTCTCAGTGACAGTTCTGACGCTCAGTGACAGTTTTGGTGCTTAACGCCATTCTTCTCGCAAAAAGTTACGCTCAACGACACTTTATGGTGATTAGCATCATAGAGCTAAAATGTTCCAGACCTATAGTGTAAAGATGGTGCTTAGTAGTGTCCTGCTGTCACTCAGTGTCAAAGCATTTGCAAAAAGTGGTATTCAACAATATAGTATATTACACAACGCTCTAGAGCTCCCAAGCCTGCAGCACAAACTAGCGCTTAACGCCATTATGATACCGCTCAACACCATATCAATTGACAACAAATGGATTTTACAATTCTAAGTGAACTTTGATCTAATTAGTTGCTCAAATTGGTACTGTTTTCTCGATGAACTAATTCAAAATAGTTTTAAACATGAAAACTCATACCAATTTGCTTAATTGTTCATATTTTAAGTTATCCTAGTCACACAAACTCAAGCACAAACCAACACAAAAATAATGAACCAATCATTCAATTTAAAACAATCATACATACTAAGCAAATTAATAAACATGCAAAACATCAAATTCACGCATAATACTTTATCTATACATAAAAACATCATAAGAATAATCACAACATACTATTATGATGATTGATAAACATAGACTCTTAACAAATCTATTTATAGTAAAACCTTTTAATATTAAATTACTATAACTTTACACGTAGAATTTGTTCAAATAATACTAAGTGGTTGTGTCTATTTATTATCTCTCATTAGACATTTTCAAAGCACAACAACAAAAATATATTTCCATTACATTATTGGGGAATGTGACTTTCCAATAAGCAAAGAAAAAATATATATTTTTAAGTCACAACCGCTCACACCAGTTATTACATGAAAAAATTACAATTTGTTTTGTATTGCTTAATAAATAAATGTTTCTATCATGATAGAAAAAAAATTACAAATAGGGGAGTAAAGTTAACAAACACCGATGAAGAAACTATTAAAATTATTAATAGCCCAAAAAGGCCCAATCCATTTTTCAAAATCAGGGGAGATACTTTGGAATTGTTTGTGCCCAACAAATTTGCCTGTTGAGAACTGCACTGTAGTTGGTTGTTTTTCTTCCACCTCGCCATCTGTGACACTGATTTAGGCTAATTTGAGGTAATTTTGTAAGCTTTGTTGTCTCTTTTGATTAAAGGACAAATCTTGCATTCTGCTCCATTTTCCTTTTAATGGTTGCATTGCCGTAGATAGTTCAGAGGACTTCCACCTTCAATTCTAGATCATAAAATCTACTTTAATTTCTTTTCATTTTAGTTTTTTTTTCTTTAATTTTTTCAATTCCTCATATTTTTATCATAATCGTATTGACTTTTCAAATAGTGTTGGTGTTCTTTACCTTGTGCATGTTATTTCTTTTTTCTTTTGCTGTGCTGAGTTCATTTGCAACTTGATTAACCTTACTTGAAAGAACATGCGTCACCCTAACTTTAAAATTTTAATGTATTTTCTTTCTTTCTTTATTTTCTTATCGGGTTTGGCACCTGAGGTTCCTTTGTCTCTGTTTATAGACTTTGGTGTGTTTCCGGATGCTGACTGTCATGAAGGTGCTGTTTTGATCGAATCTAAACTATAAATTCATCACCAATGGATTACAAATGCATTCAGTGCGGGTGCCCTGTCAAAACGCTTTACCTGCAGTATTCTCCAGGCAATATACGCTTGATGAAATGCGTAAGTTTTTTTTCTTTTTACTGAAAAATAAGATGAAATTCATGATTATTCACTCTATTGTATCTTGAATTACCCAATTGATGAACTGATTTTCAGACCCTTTTGTGTCGTAGGAGAATTGCAGGGCTGTTGCAGACGAATATATTGAATGTGAAATCATGGTGCGTAGTACTTCTTTATGCCACTGGTTTATGAGTTGAAACGTCTTAACAGTCTGTCTAGTATGATGAAATGGTGGGATGAGAGCAGGGAGGACAGATAAAAAATGTGAAGATTTTAAATCTCCATCATTTGGCAGCGTAGAAATAA